CAGAAGCAGACAACTGAATGCATATTGCCTCCAACCACTAGCTTAAATTGCTTGCAAATCTAGAATTTTGAGGCAGATCTCGAAAGTAGCTTTCACACACTTAATAATATATTTGCTTTAATGGGACCACCTGCTTTGTTTTCTATGGCGTGCATTTTCTGTTTGTGACCTAGTAAAACAGGTAATTGAGCTTGTAGTCCCTCTAAGCCCTTTTCTTGATTTGACTTATAATAATAAGAATGATGACACATCTATAGACTCGACGGGGAATCCCGACTGTGCACTCAATATCCTGCTACAAGTTTTCCGAGTTAACTTGCGCTACTATTTTTGTATATTCCGCCGGTAAAACTTTGCCTCTGTTTAGAAACGTCGCATTGGATAAAAACCTAAGAAATGACCCATTCTGATGTTCAAACTGCCCGTTTGACACGAAATGAAACAAACCATCTGAGAGTAGCTGTTACGGTTGTTAAATGCCACTGCAACTTCGATTCTAGTGAACTGAAACACCTGAAAGAACATTTCTGAAAAAAAAGAAAGAATACTTTGTTATCTGCCTGAACTCACAATTCCTAAAGAACATCATACGAATAAGAATCACCTTGATCAAGCAAAATCAACTCGTTATCGAGTGAAAAAGTTACCTCTCTCGACCTTGTCTCGCTTAGACGCATCAGCGACTTTTAGTCGGCTGACTATAAATGCACCAATACAATATGAATTTTCATTCGCCTTATATCACCTGCAGGCAATATTAGCAACCTTTTTTCTATATTTGCCAGAGCTCTTTGCCGAGTACTGTTGGTGGTTGAGTCAAACAGGCTTCACAGAACGCGCCATCTCGCTGTGGCAGGCGGCAATAGAGTTTTCATGCTTCTGCCCACCGCGTCTAAAGTCTACAACCTATGTCACTTTTGAACAACGGCATGCTGAATTTGAAAGGTTTTGGACCAGCGACGTCCCTCGGTTTGCTCATCCGCTAGCTCGTGGGTGGGCCGCTTGGTTTTCGACCGGCGGTGTAACTGAGCCCCGAGACTGCGGAACCCAACAACAGCCGTCCTCTAATCTGGCGATGGACCTAGATGAAGACTGGAGTCCCTCTTCAGCTACAGCAGCCGCTCGGTGGCAACAGATTACCGCTGCCTGGAACCGTAAGTTCTGCATTCTTGACTTGCCTATTGCTACAAGGACTTTTCAGCTCACCCGTTTCACTTTTTGCTCCCTTCCTCCACTTTCGCGGTTGCCCGTTCTGACAGAACTGCCTTCAGAGGTCCTTTTGCTTTTGATTTATAACAGTAACCTACTTTTAAATTTTCCTTAACCTGACTTTCCTTTTTTACGTTAAATTCTGCCAATATAAAGTCGAATTTCTCTATTTTCGTTAACTTTCGCCAATGGAAGGT